GGAAAGGGCGGAGGGGTTGGGCCCCCGAGGGGCAGGAACGGACGGAAGTAAGGTAGTTGACGAGCCGAGGAGGGGCGCCCCAAGTAGGGCCGGGGAAGGCAAGGAAAGCCTGCCCGGCACCGGACAGGCAAGGGGCGAGTCCTGCAGTAAGGTAGGCAACCGTAAGAGAGGGCCAGAGAAAAGGATGCGCAGAGAGAGGGGGCGCGCACCGGGTAGGCAGAAGACACAGTCGGATGAGGAGGATTCGCATAGACGAGGCGTAACAACGGCGAAGGAGGTCGCCGCTTCTGTGGAGAAGCAGAGGCTGGGTGGAGGCGAAGGTGAATGGCAAAGTAGCGACGAGCGAAGTTACCTGTGGCACGAGCCGAACTAGAGGCAACGCGGCGGAGTCTTGGGAACGAGGTAGAGAATATGAATGGTAGGTAAGAGAGTCGGCATGAGGCTGGAGGCTTACGTTTTCTGCTGTCGATGACTGCATTAGGTTATTTTCGTACTCTCTACTCGATTGCCGTGCGAGCGGCCCACCCGCCCTCCCACTAACAGCCAAATGGCTGATCGGAATTGTCTTTGAAGGGTTTGGGTACCGCGGGAGTGTGGTCGCAGACGCAATGGCCTTCCCCACAATAAGTTAGTAGTGAGTACGGATCACGCGATGACGTTTAAGCAATCCGGATCGCCGGCCCGTACTGGCCTTGCAATCATACTCCGGACTACACTGCATGTAAACACACCCTTGGTAAGTTTAGGACAAAGGTGAATCTTGGGAAGGCTACGGAGTATGTTAGGAAACCGCAAGTATTTTAAAAAGGAATTACAAGCCAGAAATATTATTCGAAACCTACCCAAGTAAAAAACTCAAAAGCTGAATTTTATTTGGTTTTCAGCTAAGGCTTGTGGCTGGATGGTGGTTTCTGCAAGTATCTCATCTTGCGTGATGCACAGGGACACCTTTGGTCGTTGAGCAGTGGAGGCTGGCCAGCATAGCTCTTTCACAATGCACCTGGACAAAAGCTACGGTCGATGAGCTCCTTATATGTCTAGGATGCCTTTTGCGGCAGTAACCCAGCCGACGGTAGCTTTTGCGACAGTGTCCATTGCCCGCTGCGCATGTCGTGCCTTCTTCTGTCGGTCTTTTGGCCCGCGTTTGTGGGCCCTCCTGTATATGCAGTGCCACATGGCCATATTAGTGCTGCGACAATGCGGCACGATCCGCATTTGAAGTTTTGGCACATCCATTCGGGTCGTCACCTGGTCTCCCTCCTCAGGTCACTTCTTCACAGTCCCACGCCTTCTCAGCCTCCCACTCATTTCACCCCGTTGCACAACATTTCGATATTCCCCCTCTCGTGCTCCCAACCCATATCCAGGTCCTCTGGGTGCTGATGTGTTGGTGGTGGCTCTTGATGCCCTCCGTCGTGGCCACGAGGCCGTCCGGGACGACCTGGTTTCGGAGCGGCTGGCGGTGCTGACGTCATTGGAGCCGCTGAGGGGACTTAGTGACGAACACCAGGCGCAACTGGCGCTGGGGGGAAAGGTAGGTAGGGAGGGGAGGGTGTCAGGGAGGGCGAGGAGAGGAAAATGTCAGGCGGGTAGGAGTCTCCCTTCCTGGATATCTCCAATTCTCACCGCACCGCTTCCAGGGCTCCCGAAAGCTGCAGAGGACGCCAAGCATTCGCTTGGTCTCTTTCTGGGATTGTTGAGTGAAGATGTACGACATATCGTACGTGCGGCAGGGTGGGTTATCTGGTCAGACGGCCCTCCCAAGAATTTTATATATCGCGGCGTTGCAATATCCTTACAACCCCCACTTTTATCATTTGCATTCGGAAAGCGCTCCTCAATATTTCAACCGGTTGCTTATCAGGCCTTTCCTAAATGATTAGTTGCCTCCACAAGCTTGTGCCCTAAATATTAACATTACGACTTCGAATGAAAGCCGAAATCTCTGGTTGTCATCATTCCGACAGTTGAATAATACTCTTGCTAGGGGCCTTATGTCTAGAAAACTTGGGCCCAGGCCCACCTAGGCGTGGGTTAATGTCCTGCAACCTTGCCAAGCCTGACCCCCTTCCGTTCACCAGTTCTGGTTGTCGTTTATAGTACGTCACACCAGCTAGGGTGAGCCCTGCATTTTATGTGGGAAATAAACTGTATGCTGGCAAAACGTCGCGCGGTCTGCAGCCGCGTTGTATTGTTGCTACAAGTCCGTGACTCAGCGGGCTCTCCTAAACAGGCTCCTTTACAACTTAAGGTCCTTACCCCCCCCCCCCCGGGGAGAATGCCCGGATGTTTAATGGTTAGGGTTTTTAGGGTTTAGGGTTGATGAATTGATGAGGCATGAGGTTAACTTTTAATGCATCTTGCAATTATTTTGCCTCCTGAAAACTCGTTCTACTTGTTGATGCCCATCTCACGTCTCCCGATGTGCCCCTCTCCTGTTGCTGGCCCTGACCTTTGTGTCCCCCCCCCCCGCCCCGGGCAGGTGATGGCGTTGGACGCAAACCAACTCATTGTACGGCAGGGCCAGCCAGTCGATGCATTGTACATCATAATGGTGAGTGGGGCGGTGCTGTCTTCTGGAGGGGGGTCTGTTGGGCCTTACTCGGACGAGCACAGCAGCGGTGTGCGCAGTCGTCCAACAACGGGAAAGGTTTCTCCCCCAAACGTATCGCATGGCATTGCGCTGGTCGCGCCGCACGGCCTGTGTCTCTTTCCGGGATTATCGGTGGTTTCGGTCGCTTTTGACCGCCGCGCTCCTAACGGCTGCGTTTGTACGGGAAACGTACCATCACCTCGCCATCCTCCATCACTTCCCCTTACTTTCCACCTCGAGCCCTTGTAGGGCCCTTGTAGGGCCCTTGTAGGGCCCTTGTAGGGCCTTGTAGGCTAACTAATTCACTCCTTTCATTGGTCCTTGTGCTGCGGTCGGGAGGCACCACTGCGTTGCCGTACTCTTAGGCTCCTAATGCTGCTGAGGCATGTTTGTACATTGGGCTCACATTCGTGGGGTAATTGTTTGAATGCAGGAGGGCGAAGTACGGCTATTGGACGAGCCAATGGAAGGACTGGCAGCAGTCTCATCGTCATCAGCAGCAGTAACCGCGGCGGCGGTGGGGGCGGTGCTCGGCACAGGAATGGCCGCAAACGGTGGCGCATCCGGCACAGCGAGCTTCATTGCCAGCCGTAGCACCTCCCTGAACAGCGGTCTGTTCGGCCGCAAAGCCGCTGCCCCGGCGGGGAGCGAAACCGCCGCCGCGGTGGCCTCAGTGACGCCGCCGTCGCCTGGCGGCGGCACAGGCGGCCACGACCACCTCCGGATTCGCCGTACACTGGCGTCGCTTGCCGCGCTCACCCTGCTGGGCCCCGGTGGCTCTATTGGGGAGAACGTGTTGGGCTACCCGGAGGATTACGTAGCGGCGGCGGCGGCGGCGGCAGCGACAGCATCGGTGGCTGTGACAGATGAGGTGAGGTGCGTCTGACGGGAATCCCGCGGGTCGATGCCCTGTGTGCGGGGTATGGAATGGAGGCGCCGTGTTGCTGGGCTGTAGCAGGGTGAAGGCGCTCTAGTAGTTGAAACAGCGCGACGATCCTTGTCCGCGTTGGTAGGAGGGAAGTTGGTACGAGGGACAAGACGCAGTCCAGGTTTGCAGGCAATGAATCGGACAGTATGGAACCAGGAAACCATGTGAAATTCATGAATGGGCGTTGGGAGCCCAAGACCGTGCCAGAGCGAAAGAGTACTAAAAGCGGTGCACATACCCCGGTAAATGGCGGAATGGTGTTCCCCGGTTCAGCAGCAAAACTTAAAAAATTTTGGGACATAAGGGGAGCAATGGGACCAAAGGCCAAACCGTTATTGGAAACCCAGATGTTTTTATTTGTTTATAAGTAGTCAGGATTTTGTTGTCAAATCACGGTTCCGTTCGTACAGGAGTTTGCAGCAGCGGGTTAGCATTACGTTATTGAGTTGATCCCTGCGGGCTAGAGAGCGACTCCTGCTCCAGCTCCCGTGACTTCACTGCAGCGCGGCAGACGAACAAATAGCCTCGATCTCTTACGGCAGCTTTCCACATCGCCACGGCGGTAAAAATGGTGTGGGCGCATCAATGTGGGTACATATGCTTTATACATATACACATCGTCCTCCCGTTCCAGGCTCCCAACCGCAATGAGGCGGTTGGCGACGCCACGAGAGCGGGCGATATCGGCCGCCGCACCAGCAGCAGCAACGGCGATAGCAGCAACAACAGCGACGACGAGGCTGGCGGTGACGCCAACATCAGCATGGTTGGCAGCGTCAGCGGCTCCCCCGGCTTCGCTCTGGGTGCTAGCGCATACGTCCACAGCCGTACAGTGTATGACTTGGCCATTGGTAAACGTCGTACAAGCGGAGACGAGCGGGGACCTGGGAGCTGGGCCGCAAGTAACCAGTTCCTGGCCAGTGCTGTGACGTCCCGCCCCAGTCGATTGCTGGTACTGCCCAGGTGGGCGCCGGGGATGAAAGCTTCCTGAGGTCCTGACGCGTGTAAGATTTGGTTTCCTTCCTTCCATCGCTCCTCCTCTCAACTGCGTCGGGGGGTGGAATTCCGTGAAATGTTACAGACTTTATCATCATCAGCTTTACACTCATCAGCTTTATATCGGGGATCCTCTAGAGT